CGTGAATAAACATACCGGAAAAGAAGAAAAGAGATAAGTTCCAGTCAATGGTGCGCTTATTAGTTCAGAAACAGTCGATGCCACACCCCAATCAATAAGATAACCTTGTTTTTCGTAAATAATAATATTTAAATACGAAACATCACGATGAAAAATGTGACGATCATATGAAAACTTCAAAGCTTTTGCAACATCTCGCAAAGCCTTTAAAATCCCTTTCAAGCCATGCTTTTTAGCTTCGAGATGTACTCCAGCCGGTGTTATCACCATAAACCTACATGATAAATGATTCAATTAAAATACCTTTAATAATTTTACATAAAAATCAGAACATACATTCTGCCATCCGAAAGAAATCCTTCTTTAACGACTTGGAGAACATATTTGCAGTCTTTAAGTATTCCGAGCATTTTAAGTTCATTATTGAGGTTATTAGAAGCCTTAAAAATAGCTTTTTTTGAATTTATAGAGCCAAAGAGAACAAGCGTTCCCCGTCCATTATCCGCTCGTCGAAGAAGGCTTTTGTATGTAAAGCCCGTAGTACTGATTAACATTTTGTGATCTTCAGGTGGAGAATAGCCGAGTTGGTGTGGATTTGAAGTAATCAGATTTAACAACATTTGTATTCCTGTTGGTTTTGTAATATTGAGTTCCATTAAGCCTGATCGCTTAAGTTGAAGTTCTGAATTAGTATATATGAATTCTACGAGCTTGTCACAACAAACAGCACCGATAATAAATGGTCGGCCAGGTTGCATTTGAAAAACTGTTTGAAATCGATCCACCAATTGTCCAACAGCCTCATGATATAGGGTAGTATTATATAATGAATATTTAATCTCAATCGCGGATACAAGATGAGCCCAAAGAACTTGTGATCCATCCACAATCGAAACATCGATCTTTCCGATTGGATCTTTGAGCCAATTAGATGATGACATATCAAAAATACTGTATCGAGTTTGTTCTTTTAAGGAGTCGAAAAACTCCATAAATTTCTTCTGCACTTTACTTTCGTTATCGCAATGCTGTTGTAAAAGTGATAAATCTAAACTTTCGATCGATATTGGTGTTTCACTTGTGAGGAAAGAAAGGATCTCGTTAGGGGAAATGCTTGCTGTGTCTAAGACATTTTTTCCTACTTCGTGCAAAACTGTAATGGTATATTTGGTTTTGTGGAGCTCAACCTCAAGAAATCGAACCTTCTTCTTAATCTCGTTCATTTCTTCTTGGGTATAAGAAGAAGATTGGCGCCTATCAAGGTTAGCGCGTCACGTTCGAGTTGACCAATCATTACGATGCAAAGACTTACCTGAATGTTCAGCTAAAATTCAACAAAAAAAGGTTAGCGCGTCACGTTCGAGCTGACCAATCATTACGACGCAAAGGCTTACCTGGATGTTCATCTAAATTGGGTTAGGAGGCCAGAAAAGGCAAAGTTAGTTGGGCAAGACACAGTGACAGCAAGTTACCAATTATGGCGCAAGGGTAATTACCTCTTAGAGATTTGGCATGTTTCCTCAAGTAGTTGACTTTCACTTCATCTTTTTCGGTTGCTAGAAGAACTGTTTCCACTCTAGTCGTGTCTCTATTAGTAAAAAAATCGAGTATGTCGGCCTTTTCGTTATCATCGAAAGGAAGGTTGTTAATTTCTTTAAAAATAGTTGACATTTTTTTTTATTTGTGAGTTTATTAAAAAGAAGTAAACGATAAGAATTTTTTTTTAAAAAAAAAAAACGATTTTCTGAAGAGATTTATATATTGTTTAAAATTAACTTTTATTAAGTTATAAGCTATATTAACGCGTCTTAAATCTGATTAATCTGATTAAACTTTGATTAAACTTCTATTATGAAAACGCGTTTTGTAAGTTCGAAGTATGAAGTTCTTTATACTGATCTTACTGATATAAAAAATGATTATAAAATTCGAGTCATCTTAAGTATTTATTATATATCGTATCGGATTCACCCAATACATGATATGAAAATTTTTTTTACATAATTAAAAATATAATAAATCCGATATGCGAAACTTTATTAATTTTTTTTAGAGAAATGCTATGAAATAAATGATGCTATCAAGGAGGGAGGGAGTACGCGGATCCTAGGCCATTTAATGCGAGTCCCAGCATCAAGTTATTTCTTTGCTCTCTCTATAACTAATTTGTTTCTATCGCTAATATCGCTATCTATAAGTTTCTTACACTCTAACCTATCACAACTATACATATAATGTTTTCGCATATCCATATCACTCTTTTCACTCCCACCTACATAGATCATGTAAAAAGTTAAGTTCCGCAAGAGAATTATTCCGTGATGAATTAAACTCGAACCTATAGTACCTACCGGAGAATAAATAAGTATATTCGTAATTTTTGATAAAAAGTAAACAATACACTAATAATCCATTTAATTTCACCCTTACCGTTATATTTCATTTTTGTAATATTCCAGTCCGTCAAATATTTGAAAAATTGATATCACGCAAACCATGGCGCGGGGAGTTGTTTGATTTACTGCGCCGGATGTTTGATATAAAGCATGTGACGAACATCGGGCAAAGCCACAATTTTACTGTGCTGATTTGACACGTGCCGGCAATCACGATTTTCTCGGCGAAGATCAAAATGCCGATATATATCAAGAAGAGTAATATGTCCGTTTTATTTTGGAACATATATAAAGGTGGGAAAATCGATTAACATCGTGATGACATGTCTCAAGAAGCTAACCGAGCAATAAAATCAACATACCTTGTTATTGTTTTGTGAAATATAGGAGTTCGTTTGATCAAGGATATTAACGATGTAAATAATGGTATGTTAGATTGGTTTTGATTTTTTCGTTTTACTTGCACAAGGCGGATAAAAGGATTCACCAACCAGGTCATCACCTTTTTATATAATTCACAGAATCGATTTTGTTATACGCTTTTGGGGAAATTACGTTAATATGATCGCATCACGAAAATCTGATCAACAGACTCTCCTTAATTTAACAATAAAAGAATTTAACGCTATCCATATGTAAAGATCATCAAGGGATCCTTTTCCAATAATATATGCAATAATTTTGAGAATATGCGAGAAAGTTTGAGAATAAAAGTCCTTGGATCCTCACTGGCAATTTTAATTTACCATCCAGATTTCCTAAATTACCTTGTATTAACATGCATATACGCTCGAGCATAAAAAATTAGTATGTACAGTCTAAAAATTATTACCAATCGCCACAAGAAAAATATTTGACTACATTGCTCAGGTCACTTAGTGACCTAACGTCTTTTATTTGCAATACATTAAGCTAAAAAAATTACATAATACGGGACTAGTCCTGAGTATATAATGCTATTCTATGACTTTAGACTATTTATTATACATGATTATTTTTTCGAATGATATTCATCTATTCTAGTTTTTTTTAAAGTTTGCCAATACATGTTGTATCATATGATAATTATAAAGACTCTTTATATATCCAGTAGGATCTAATTCAATGATGTCTTATTATGTAAAACATATATTATGAAGAAGTAAAGATGACATACTTACTACGCATGATATATTTTAAAAAGCCTGTCAGCATATAATATTTAAGCCACCCATATAATTCAGAAAAAAGAAATGTAATAATAAACTTATAGGACAATCAAGTACCAAATATGTGAAATTCTCCTAAGTGGTTATTGGAATATAATAGGACTCATTATTAGGAAGGATTTTCTTTTGTATTTTCTGTCACAATAGTAATAACCTCTATCACATTCATCATATTCATTATATTCACTGTATCCATTATATCCATCATCATCCGAATTATCTTGCACCTCCTCTTCAGAATTATTGTCATAACTATAGTCACTATCACCATCTTTCCTATCTGGTACCTTTGGCACCTCTTCAATCGTTTCTTTCTCTTCCTTCTCTTCAGAATAAAAATACATATTATCATCATTATCTGCCTTAGCTAAAGCGATTTAAGGTGTATATGATGAATTTTCTATCCTCCAGTCAGATATGGGCAAGATTTTTTTGGAACAGACCATCTCAGAAATTTCAGTCACATAATCTGTTTCTAGAGGTAACTTTTTTATAGATATTTCATAGTCTGTAATCTCTTGAATTTGCTTATTAGTAAGCTCTAAAAAAGAATTTATACTATAAGAATTAATATACTTGATTTTATCCATACCCACTTTCTAAATAAATTTATAGATTTTTTCAGCTCTCTGAGTCTTCTTACGCAAGTTATCCTGTGATATATCCTGAAGTTATAACTCCAATTCTTGTGATCTTTTTTTATAGAGAATAGAAAGCTGGTCTGTAATAGTATTATAAAGTATACTTCTTACCTTCTTTTACCAAATTTACTACCACCGCTTCTGATAATCTCATTAAGCTGATTTCTAAAATCCTTTTAGTAAAGGCATCAACATAGAATTTCTTCCTGATTAGTTCGATTTGCTCTATCTTCAGCATCAATGGCTTTATCACATAATTGAGCTAGATGTTTTAAAACTTCATCAATACTGTCATAGATAACTTTTCTAGAACAGGCTGTTTCAGAAACTTCAGTATTATTATAGTTTATAAAGGATAAATTATTTGATTCTAAAGAAGGATTAAATAATTTGTGCTAGAGTTCATCTATTCCTTTTTTCTTATGTGATTTGTTATCTCTGATAATCCTCTTTTGATCATAAATCATTGGATCAGAGATAGGAAAATCTAAGTTGACGTTTTCACTGACTTCAAATGTTAAATTATTATATGATTGAATAACTAAGATAAGCTCTTGAAATGTTTTCTCTTTAGGATGTATTTAAAGAGACTTTTAGGCTTAAAGTTTCTTTTTTCGATTACTTTACATAATCTCATCACTAACCTTTTTCTTATGCATCTCATCCAAAAAAACATCTATCTTCATTTTCTTTGATGACTTGAAACTGAAAGGTGAAACTTCTAATATCAGTTCTTTTGATAACTAAGTATCTATTTTTTCATCCTGTTTGCCCTCTGATCTTTGCTTTGTAATAGAATTGAAATTATATGAACTGTTATTAGGAGAATCAGTTACCTTGGTAACATTACCATTTTGCATTTACCTGTAATCCTCCTCTAATTTTGCAACTCTAGCTTTAAATTCAACGTTTTCAGACTTGAATTTAATGATAAACCGTTATTTTTTTCTAGCTCTTCAATTCTAACCTTAAGCTCAGCATCTCTAACTTCAAGCTCAGCTTTTTCAGTCATAATCTTAACATTCTCAGCCTCTAGATCAATGATGTACTATCTTAATACTTCAAGCTCAGGTTGGTTAGCTTCATTAACTGACATGATCAATAATAATTTTAGATATGAAAGGAATTGTTCAATGTTCTGAAAACAGCCAAAAAATTTTTAGGACGAGCTGTCTTGAAAAATTGTTAAGAAAAAATTTTTATTAATACATATAAAAATCTTTTGAGCTGATGATCACTGCTCTGGATTAGCTAGATTAGTCAGCCAGTACATCATCTAAAACTATCGCAATTATATTGAAATTAGGTTATCTGTGTATCTGATATAAGACCAAATTCTGATTATCTCATATACTTAGATCTAAAAAGCTCTAAAGGACCTGAACTAAAATTTGATTATTAACTACTCTAATAAGATTAGGAGGCATTAAAATTTTCACAAAATTCTCTATATAGGTATGGTCTAGTACAAAAATGTAGATATACCAATATATTTATAGTAAAAAAATAAATTTTTAAATTTAATATAAACATTTAAATATTTTTATTTATTATATAGATTTTGAGAAATATTTTTAATATAAATTTTATTAAAATATAAAATTTCTATAAAAAATTTTATTAATCATTAATTTCTTCAATTTCAGAATTCTCATAATCACTTTCAGCCAATGATATATCATCACATGATTCTTTATATTCTATAGTTTTGTTAAGTGCTCTTTTTCAAAATCTAATAATAACTTTAGTGGTAACCTTTTCATTGAAAACATATAATAATTTATCTCTAATAGCTAAAGACTTGAATGAGAATCAGACCTAGTAACCTTACCTTTAACAATTGACCAAACTCCTTCAATTGGTTGGAGTTCATAATGATAAGGCGGAGTATAAAATAAATTGTGACTATATTTTCTAGCTATCTTAACACACATAAAAGGTATATTTGCTTTATTTTATTTTACCAACTCATATAATTCTGCTTTAGTAGAATTTTCTGGAATATTAATACCAGTTGAAGTTAACCAAGTAATTAATGTATTTTTTTTCAAGTTTGATGTTGGTACTTGTTTAACTCAATGTTTATAATACTGAACACCATCTATATGAATATTTACTAGCCTATAGCGTTCCTTAATATTAGCACAAAGTTTATCAAAAAGATTTTCAAAGATGTCAGCTGTAAAATTCCCATAATAATCAATATGGTCTGCTATAATGTTAGAATTTTGAATAATTTTAGAAATATTATCTCAGACATCAGCATTTGCTCATTTTCTCCCTCTTGATGAAGGTAGTTTTATTAATAGATCCTACATAAAAAGTGAATTAAGAATAACTTTACCATAAAGCTTATTAGTATTACTATTACGCATTACAATTATCGCTCTAAAAATAACAATTAAGAAATCACGCCCTGTGAATATACTATCTTATGACTTAGTATTCAAGTACAGTTTGTAGTATAGTGTAAATGACAATACGATTCATCTAAAAAAACCTCTGGCCTAGTTAGAACTTTATTTTTTCTTTATAAGTTTTCAAACTGATATCGTAAATAACGGTTACAAAAGGCAACATTCACTGGCGATTTATGCAATATATTTTAACATTTACCATAGTCATAATAATATCCCAATTTATGAAGTAAACGAAGTAACTGCCATTTTGATAATTTATGGCCATTTTCTTTAAGCTTTTATTGTAATATTTATGTTGAAAGTAGAATGTCAGAAATGTTTGCGAGCATAATAAAGCTTTGTAAAATTTTAGGAATATTATGATCAAATGTATTTTTAAACTGATTGAGAATTTTTTATGTTTGAAATTCTCCATTTTTTTTATTTTGTTCAGCAACCACATGCGTAACTGTAACCTCCCAAATATCAAGAACTGTAGTAACCTCCTTGCAAAATGGCAAGTCATGATGTTGCTTCTGGTATTATCGAACCTTTAAAAAGTATTTATAGATGTTAAAAATCATCTTTCATTCATTATCAATCAACAGACTTTTGTATCTAGTTAAGTTATCCATGAGAAAAAAAAAGGTTCAAAGTTAGTAAACTATTTAAATTTTGAATACAATCTAACCTTTCACATCATTTGTACACTCAAATGACATAATTGTTAGATTTTCTATCATTTGAGAAAATTAGGTAATGATTTTTGTGTATCTACATTTTTACATCAGACTATATTTTGATTTAGCTTATCTACAGCTTCTTTGCTAATTTTATAATACCTTTTTAGATTAAGATATTTTAAATTAAGACATAAACTAGCAATCTCTTCAATCGTTATATTGGTAATTTTACAAAAGTTAAGGTCAAGTTGTTTGAGCTTTAGATAAAAATAAATAATATTACAAATTGATAGTTCATGAATATCTGTACAGTAAGAATATTTAGATATTCTAATTTATGGCATAACGGGATAATTTCATATAGACCTTTATCAGTTATTATACCATATTACAGTCCAGGATTTTACTAAAAATGTCATAATGATTTTTGCTATTTATAGTAAAGAAATGCTGATCAAGAATATTCTAAAAATATTAAGAACATTCTAAATATTTTCAAATTTAGTAATTTATTTTATTTAATAAATTTTTAAAAAAAATTTATTTGATTTTAAAATATTTAGGATATGCAAAAAAAGTAAAAAATTAGTTTTCTATATTTTCAGCTATAATATTTCTAATTTCTTGAAGAATATTTAATAAATTATCATAAGATTTATTTGATAAGCCTTGAAAACATGATCAGGTTGAATCATCTAAAATAGAATTAAAGAATTGATAATTAGTAAAATTTGAGATTTTGTTAAAGAATTTTCATATTGTTGAAGATCTGCTTTTTCATATATTATAGAAATTGGAAGCCAAATTCCTAAAGAATTTTTGTTAATTAACTTTGATTTAATAAAATTGATTCTTTTCAGTTGTGCAATTTCGCTAAAATTTTTCAATTTTTCACTTAACATTTGTCTGCTAATATTTTGGAAGTTTTGATCACTAGTACCATTAGGATTTACAAATTGGAATTCTCTTATTTGAACTCAAAATTAGCATGATTTAGTTACATAATTAGGATGCGTACGAGACCTATAAATCTTACTTTCAGAATATCCTATTATGTTAAATAAGCTAGTACGCAATTTCATAAATTTAATACAATTGTATATCGCAATTTTCCAATGTAATTGTAAAGGTATAGGAGGAACTAATGATTTAAGTACTCTATTGACTTCTTTGAGTATTGCATCAAGACCTTGATATTGATTCTAAAGTCCAGATTGTGAAATTATTATTTTTTCTTTAATTAGATTACGAACTTCAGGTTTTAATTGTAACATTTGTTCTTCATCAATAGCCTCAATTAATCAATAAATTGGATATCGTCTAGCAGACTAAATAAATGCGAACATTCATCTAGCAGCATCTTTTAATAAAAATCTATTCGTGCGAATACCTATACAAAAATTAATAATAGCCTGTAAATAAAAAAACCTGTTCATATTTTAATTAAAATGTAGAATCAGTTTGATTTTGAGCCCATTCAAGATAACTTTCAACAAAAGGATTTTCATCAGAAACAACATATGACCACATTAGTTCAGAAGCTATTGCATATCTATATATGTTATATATCGAATTCTAAGATTTTTTTTTAAAAAAACAGAGCTGATTTTTAGATTGATACCCTTGAAATTAAGTAAGTCTTTATATTGATATTCCAGTTTAACTTAACAAATACTTTTAATATATTTATTTCTTCATGAAGAACCAGTGTATAAAATTTGGATCAAAAGTTATGTGCACAAGTTGTACTAAAAATAGAAAATTAATGCATGTATTACATAGTATTTCCATTTTTATAAATAATTTATCCATTTTTATATATAATTTATCTATTTTTAGTAATTATTTGTGCACATTTTATGCTGTGTAATATGTGCACATAAAAATTTAATGTGCACATGTGCACATTGTGCACATGAATTTTACACACTGTGAAGAACACCTGGAATTAATATAAGCCAAGGGAAGTCTTTTTTGATTTTCTGTATATTATGATAAGGTACTCTATCACAGACAACTACAACCCATTTACAATCACTTTGTTTAATGCTGAATATCTCCTTCACATGTTTGAAAACCTTTCAAATATTAGCAATTGAGTTCAAATTAATGTCTATTAGATCAGAATAAACATTTACGATATATAAACTTTACTTTTTGAATTTGATTGTTATATAATATTAGAAGTAAGATTTTGATCACTTGATTCTTTAAAAGTATGAGGACAGATAACAAATTGTTTCTCAATAGTATTGATAATCTTAAATGGCTCATTATGCTGCAGACTTATTTTAGCTATTGATAATAATTTAGTATTATATGTAGGACAAACTCATTTCTTATTGTTGATGTTAAAAGTCTGATAAGCAAAGCATTTTTTCATATATTCCAGTTGACTTTTTTGGTTCATTAACTTATCAATCACATTTTTTTCTTGATTCTTTTCAACAAGAAGTTCCTCTAATATTTCTGTAAGATAGTTAGCAAGTTTTTCATAAATTTCATTTTTCATATCTAAAGTTAAATAAAATAAATCTTCATATTACTTTAGGGTAAGCTTAGAATATAACCAAGGATTAGTATTAGTTTGAATGTTATCATATTGGTTATGATAAAAAGCAATGAAACTTGTAACTGTATGAAATACAACCATATTATATTCATGATCTAGATAGTTCTTTTGGCCTTTTTGTTCATTATTAAAAGCTAGAAATAAGAGACCTTTAGGAAGCAATGATTATTCAGCAGCTAAACTATTTAACCAATTAGTAAATTTTA